CCAGCATTTGTTATTGGTTGATTTCATGATAGCAGCCATTCTTTCTGGGCTAAGGTGAAATCTCAGCGTTGTTTTCATTTGCATCTCTCCAATGACCAGTGATGTTGAACATTTTTTCATATGCTCATTTGCTATTTCTATTTCATTATCTGAGAAATGTCTATTCATTTCAAGTGCCCATTTTTGAATTGGGTCTTTGAATTTTGGGGGTCTGATTTTTTTCAATTCTTTATAGATTCTAGATAGTAGACCTTTGCCTGAGGAACACCAGGTGAAGATTTTTTCCCACATTGTGGGTTGTCTCTTCACACTGTTGATGATTTCTCTTGCTGAGCAGAAGCTTTTTAATAAGAAGAGATCCCACTTGTTGATTGTTTGTGCTAGTTCACGGACAACTGAGGTTTTGTTAATAAAATCTTTTCCTACACCAATGTCTTCAAGAGTTCTACCTAACCTTTCTTCTAGCCACTTCAGTGTTTCTGTTTTAACATTTAGATCTTTAATCCATTTCGATTTTGTTTTAGTGCATGGTGAGAGATATAGGTCTAGTTTTAATCTTTGAGAAGTTGAAACCCAGTTTTTCCAGCACTATTTATTAAACAGGCTATCTTTCCTCCAGTGAAGGTGTTTGGCTCCTTTGTCAAAGATGAGGTGGCTGAGTGTATCTGGCTTTGTTTCTGCATCTTCTAATCTGTTCCACTGGTCCCCAGTTCTGTTTCTTTGCCAGTACCATGCTGTTTTTATCACAGGAGATTTGTAGTATAGTTTCAAGTTGGGGGTTGTGATACCCCCGCCATGTCTCTGTTGCCTAGGATTGCTTTTGGTACTCTGGGTCTCTTCTTGTTCCAAATGAATTTTTGGATTGTTTTCACAAGGTCTGTGAAGTATGCTGCTGGAATTTTAATTGGGATTGCATTGAATCTATATAGCAGTTTTGCAAGTCTGGCCATTTTTACTATGTTGATTATTCCTACCCAGGAGCAAGGGATGTCTTTCCATTTTCTGATATCGTCTTCAATCTCTCTTTTCAGAGTGATATAGTTTTCAGAGAAGAGGTCTTTGATTTCTTTTGTTAGGTTGATTCCTAAGTATTTCAGTTTTTTGGATGCTATTGTGAAAGGAATTGTTTGCCCTAATTCTCTCTCAGTGAGTCTGTTGTTTGTGTAGAGGAAAGCTATTAATTTTTGTGTTGACCTTGTATCCAGCTACTTTGCTGAATTTGGTTATTAAGTCTAGAAGACTTTTGGTGGAGTTCTTGGGATCTTCTATATAGAGTATCATGTCATCTGAAAATAACTTTTGACTTTTTTGCAAATAAATTGACTTTTCCATTTCCTATCTTTATTTGTTTTATTTCTTTCTCTTGTCTAATTGCTGTGGCTAATGTTTCCAAGACTCTACTGAAGAGGAATGGTGATAGTGGACATCCTCGCCTTGTTCCTGATTTTAGTGTGAAGGATTTCAGTTTGTGACCATTTAGTATGATACTGGCTGTTGGTTTTTCATAGATGGCTTTTATCAGATTGAAGTAGAGACTGTCTATTCCAATTTTTTGTAGGGTTTTTATCATGAATGTGTGTTGGATTTTGTCAAATGCTTTTTCTGCATCTATTGAGATGATCATATGGTTTTTGTCCTTGGCTCTATTGATATAGT